GACTGAACCAGAGAAACCCCGAAGTCGGCTTTGCTACTGCCGCCCTCATGGAAATCCCAGGTACAAACCATTCATTCTTCCACAACTACATGGTGTACTGATGGGTTTGTGCCGTAGATCAATTCAAGACGATCAAGAAGCTTGGGTTGCTCTAACAACGGTTCACCTAATAACTGCGAAATCAAAATCTGGTACACTTCGAGTAACTTTTTTGAGACAGCAAAGTCTGCAAGCTTCGAAGTTCGATTCGAAGTATTACTACGTAGTACTACCTCTGGTAGGTAATAAGTGCAGGCAAACATTCAATGCAATACAAAAACAAAGTAAAACGAATCTGTATTTAAAAAGTTTACACTACAGTAGAGAGTTCTCATTCTCGTAGTACAATCTCATGTCCAGACCAGTTCTTTTGGCTCAGTTGGGAGCGCGTCTACTTATAGATCACTTTACACCTGATCCAAGTAGGACAAGAACTCACCGATGGTCGCTGGTTCAGTCCCTGGTTTCCTCAGGTCCTTGGCATCGACACCAGGAAGCCTAGTTAGGGTCGAGTCAGAACCCTCCCTTTCACTACTACCATGACCTGTATCAGGTCACAGGTGTCGCTCATTCGACCCTCTGCTTCCAGGCGCGTATCCATCAATTCCAATGCAATCGCGTCATCCTCAGTCACATCGCTCCGAGGGATCTTGTAGCTGTTCTCACCATTAACCCCAACAATCGCATGCATTACCCGGCGCCAGGTTCAAAACGTCTTCTCCAAAGTCAATGATGGCAGACAATTGAACGATTCAGGTCCTCCATGGACCGACATTTCATTTGCTGCTACAGTGAAGGAATAGAGTTGAACAAGCCCAGGTCTAGAGCGTTCAGGTCCTCAGTTACCGGACCTGAACGTTCTAGACATGGGCTTCTTCAACTCTATTGTGCCAACCAGGTTTAGGTAGAACGTTCAGGTCCTCAGTCGCCGGACCTGAACGTTCTAGACCTGGTTGGCACATTAGCTGGATGTTCCAACCACCCTCAGTTGCCGCTTGAACTAACAAGGCATCGTCGACAGCAATGTGCCCCATTTGTGCTTACTTGCTGAAGCTCTTGGTACAGCGCCATGCGCTTGTCGTTCGTCAAATTTGATTTGGAATTTGTATTTCGAGCAGACTTGGAGTCGTAGCAAGTGCGAATGTGGTCATATAATTCAACAAAAATATGATCAGAATCGCCTCAATGAAACGAACACGCTCCACTAAGTTTTAGGCCAATCGGATAACTGGAACACTAATTTTTGTCACCGCCTGCACTTAATACCTACCAGAGGTAGTAGTTCGTAAAGTCAAGATATTTCGCACTTGCTAAAAAGGATGACTGGGATTCTCGTCCAAAAACCCAAACATTACACTTGAGAGTTGTATTGGGAATTACACTCGAGTAGTAAATCCCAATACATCATCTTTTGAGTCGAAGCATTATCCGGATATGTTCTTATTGGGACGTCAAATTTGTTGAATTTTTCGGGATGTCCGTCTTGGATGCATCCAAAATGACTTTTGGACAAAAAATGCGCATTTTCACAATTCCTCAACACGACATCACCTCAAAGCAAGCATGGGGTGCATCCCGTCCAGCGAAAACGCGAGCGTGGCCTCTCCAGTTCCGTCAAGGGCGATAGCGCGGTCAGCATTCGTCCCCATCGCCGACAAGTACGAGACATACGGTACGTTGAACGTTGATGGCCGCGGCTAACCATGGATTTCACATGTCCAGAGGAACTGCAGCAATCACTTCGCAAGGCAGGGTTGGAATCGTCCAACCTCGTCGTCGCCATCGACTACACAAAGTCCAATGAGGTGGGTACAGTACCATGTTGCATGTCAGTGTCCTTAACTCGTTGTTGACAGTGGAGTGGCGAAAAGTCATTTGGAGGCAAGTGTCTTCATGCTATCGACCCCAGCGGTGCCACAGTGAACCCGTATCAGGTGCGCCATTTCAAAACCATTCAACGTATTGACAGCTCACCATCACGTAGTCTGTCATTCACATCATGGGTCGGACTCTGGAAGCATTCGACGACGACAAACTCATCCCAACCCTTGGGTTTGGCGATGTTCGCACTGGATCCACCAGCTTTTTCCACCTTGGCGTCAACAGCAATCCGTGTCATGGCTTCGACGACGTTCTCGACCGATACAAGCAACTCACGCCCACTATCAAGCTCTCTGGACCGACGAACTTTGCCCCCGTGATCCAAGAGACCATCCGCATCGTCCAGCGCACCCGGCAGTACCACATCCTAGTCATCGTTGCTGATGGTCAAGTGAGCAACGAGAAGGAAACACGCGAAGCCATCGTGGCTGCCTCCAACTATCCCCTTTGTACGACCTTCCACCTTGCATATTCCACGAGTATTGATTGATCCGTGCTTCTTGCAGCGATTGTAATGGTGGGCGTTGGCGACGGGCCGTGGGACATGATGGAGGAGTTTGACGACCAACTGCCTGCTCGTCGGTTCGACAACTTTCAATTCGTCGAGTACAACAAGGTGCTTCGACTGAACCAGAGAAACCCCGAAGTCGGCTTTGC